AACTTTTATAAAGAATATCTCTTTGGATTTGAGACTTTAGTCTTTGCAACTTTACAGATCTTCTTTATGCACCAAGAGCTTGTAACACTCCAAAGAGAAAGAAAAAATTGAAATCGCATCATATGACCCCTTTAATTTAAAAGCTCTTGTATAATATTACTTGCTGTGTTTGTTTGTTTGCTTGGTTTTTATTGTATTTATGTGATATTTGTATTTTTGTAATTGAGTTTTTGCCATGAAAATAGCCTCAGATGCTGACATGGCATTAAATAAAATTATACTACTACAGTTGCTAAGGTGTTCTGAGAGGTTTTTAATGTGTTGCTGTATAAGGAAACAGTCCTCCATAAAATGCGTCACACAGCGTCACACACTGCGGGCTTGAGTGAGGAACGGCCGGCGGACTTGAGAACGGTGCGGCCGGCGGGCATGCGGCAACCACATGTGACGACCCCGGGCTAGACTCCGCTTTGTCCACGGTGAAAGCCGATCCGGCGATCCACAGCGTGAAGTTGATGTATTTCCTCAGCGACCAGCACAGATCAGCTGTAGGCATGACGAAGCGGATATCGTCCTCTTTTGGAAGACCAAACAAAGTAGTTTCGCTTTCGGCTGGACTCCGCTTTGTCCACGGTGAAAGCCGATCCGGCGATCCACAGCGTGAAGTTGATGTATTTCCTCAGCGACCAGCACAGATCAGCTGTAGGCATGACGAAGCGGATATTGTCCTCTTTTGGAAGACCAAACAAAGTAGTTTCGCTTTCACAATGAAACACACAGCGTCTCCACAACATGGCGGCGGCGGCAACAACAATACTACAGCGAGAATAAAAGTTATGCCTTCTTTCTTTGCGTGAACATTTGGGCGGTGTTATGCAAATCTTCCCACACAGTGACGTAGACATGTGGGGGCGTGTTTAAACGAGGCTTTTATAAAGAATATCTCTTTGGATTTGAGACTTTAGTCTTTGCAACTTTACAGATCTTCTTTATGCACCAAGAGCTTGTAACACTCCAAAGAGAAAGAAAAAATTGAAATCGCATCATATGACCCCTTTAATTTAAAAGCTCTTGTATAATATTACTTGCTGTGTTTGTTTGTTTGCTTGGTTTTTATTGTATTTATGTGATATTTGTATTTTTGTAATTGAGTGTTTGCCATGAAAATAGCCTCAGATGCTGACATGGCATTAAATAAAATTATACATCTACTACTTGAAAATTGTCCTTCATTGTCTACATTTAAGTTGGTGCAGTAACCATCTAATTTTTTGTTTGTTTATCCTCTCAAAATGTTTCACCAGGCAATGTGACACCAGCACACTATGATGAGCAGCAGAATTTCTTTGCACAAATCAAAGGACATAAGAGATGCATCCTCTTTCCTCCAGATCAGTTTGACTGCCTCTATCCTTACCCAGTTCATCATCCTTGTGACAGACAGAGTCAGGTATTGTATGTTTGATAAAACTCTAGACCAGTTGTTCTCTATTATAGGTATGTGATATTACCCCAGAAGTTTACAGTCTAAAAAATAGACATTTTAAAATTTTGCTGTATTGTGCGTCTAATAATCGATTGGATAGCCTACTTTGTACTTCAGCAATACAGCATGCAAACAAATGTTCAAGTAAACAATATTAACAAAAAAAAGCAAAATATTATATTCAACGGTTTCTGTCACATTACTTTTTCCACTCATCTGCCATTAGTGGGGCGAAATGATGGCAGTGAATACAAAAACATTAAACATAAACAGAGATGCCAAAAAATATGTTGATAATTGTGTTTGATTTATACTAGGTCCCAGAAAACATTTTTACAGATCTCAAGTTAGCACCGACCCTTCACAAATATTTAATTCGCAATTCTTCTCTGTATGTTGCTGGTATACCCAAATGGATTGAATGTTGTACAAATGTTGTTCCTGGAATGAAAGGTTTGAGAACCACTGGCTGAAAAACTTTGTTTTCAGACTCTTTAAGACTGTAACAATAACTTGCAAAAATAACTTTCTTTTTTTTTTTGCATTCATAGGTTGATTTTGAAAATCCAGATTATGACAAGTTTCCTAATTTCACAAATGCTGTTGGATATGAGGCTGTTTTGGGACCAGGTGATGTCTTATACATCCCAGTATACTGGTAAGATTGCCTTCAAATACACAGAAAAGATCGATCACAATGATTACTTTAAGATGAAATGTGTATTTCAGCCAGTCTGGCTCAACCAAATGGAGTTTGAGACGGAACTATCTGTTTGACCAACCAAAGGCTGACAGGATGAGTGCTTGGGATAACCTGTTAGGAATATTCAGCAGGCCTCTGGCTGTCTGCCTCCATGGGCTGCTGACTTAGTTTCAAGCCTGTGAGAGTGACTCAGCCATGACGGCTTCGTCTTCCAACTCCTTGCTCCCCCTAGTCACTGGAGGGCAAAATGATGTCAACCAGCTGTGTAATTCTACAGTCCATAATTTTTCCTCATGGCTGCCTGAGTGTGAACACCTCTCCTCTACTTTTAACCTAGTGTTTCAGAATGGTCTCCATTTGAATTAAAGAGCAAACACAGAACGTTGTACTATTTTCCAAATGTTCTCAGAGTTTCCTTTCGTGTATATCTGAACTCTAATTCGACACATGGACAAAGAGTGGTGCACAGGGGCATCATGCTGCATATGTTCTTTAAAATCAGGCACATGTTTCAAAAGTGAAGCTTGTTGCCCAGTAATGGTTCAAGTCTCTAAAAAACTTTCCAAACAGGTTTTCATTAGCTGTGTAAAAGTGCAGTTTATATGTGTAAAGTGCACATTGTGTGCTTTGCATAAATGACTATATTAAGAGAACAATCACAGTGGCAGATGTGGAAGGAATGTCCGGTGTGGGATTCAAATGGTTTTTCAGTTTGACTTTCCTGCAGGCATGGTGCTCTTATCTAAACTGTCTTCGTCATAAATAGCAATTGAATGTTATTGTATGTAAAAGCTTTGTGGAAGATTTTTTACGTGTTCATTCATTTTAGAATAGTTTTAGAATATTTAGTTCTAAATGCATTTTCATATGAATTAGAAATGATAAAGCAATCCAAAAATGAGTGAACAAATATTTAAAGTCAATTATTTAAATTCATGAAATATATTTGTATACTCTACTGTTTAAAGTTTTGGGTCAGTAAGATTTTTTAAAATGTTTTTTTTTAGGGAGTTTTATGCTCACTTAGGTTGCATTCATTTGATTATAAATTACAGTAAGAACAGAAATTCTATGAAATATTATAACTATTTAAAATAATTGTTTTTTTATTTGTTTGTTTTATTTTAATATAATTTAAAACTTAATTTATTCCTGTGATGGCAAAGCTGAATTTTCAGCATCCATTACTCCAGCCTTCAGTATCACACGAGAAATCCTTCAGAAATCATTGTAATATGCTGATTTCGTGCTCAAGAAACATTGATTATTGTTTTTCTATTTTTTGTGGAAACAAAATGTTTGTGGTGATGTTTTTTTTTTCAGGATTCTTTGATGAATAAAGAGTTCAAAATAACAATTTATTTGAAATAGAAATCTTATGTAACAATGTGAAAGTCCTTACTGTCACATTTGAGCAATTTGATGCGTTCTTGCTGAATAAGTGTTAATTTCTTAAAAAAAAAAACCTTAATGACCCCAAAACTTTAGCATAATACTGTATAGGTTTATGAAATTATCTTAAATGATAAATGTTTGCATTTTTTACTTGATAAAGGTGGCATCACATTGAGTCCCTGTTAAATGGAGGAGTGACCATCACAGTAAACTTCTGGTACAAGGTATACTTTTGCATCACCATCTCATCCACTGTCTTATTTGTAAACATGATATATCTTAGCACCAATCAACCAATACTGTGCAAAATATTTCCAGGGGGCACCCACTCCAAAGAGGATAGAGTACCCTTTGAAAGATCATCAGAAAGTGGCCATAATGAGGAACATAGAGAAGATGTTGGGAGAGGCCTTGGGGGACCCTCATGAGGTACAGAGAAGTAGAACAGTCAATCAAAGCCTTTTCCGTTTTTAGGTCCTCAGATATGAATAATGCATTAAGGAATTCCCTGTGCATTTTGACCTTGACAATAACCTAATTACAAGTATATTTGTGGCTAACCTGCTTTAAACCTGAATAAAATTGTGCATGCCTACATTTGACTGTGACTAGAGCAAAAATGAATAACCTTTTTCTTCTTCCACTACTTTAATTGTTTAATGTATGTTTGTTCAAAGACAGGGTTTCTGCAAAATGGCCTAATTCGCCTTTCCACAAATTAAGGCCTTAAAAAGGGTTGATCAGCTTTTTTCGAAAGCTTGATTGTCTTTATGGGGTGCAGTGTAACGTGTTCATTCTTCGTTTAAAAAAAAAAAAAAAAAAAACCGCATTATTTTCACATATTTTGCCTTTATTCTACACCGCTGTTTCCATTCTCGTCAAAACGGTCTGTTGAGTTCCTGGTTCTATGAAGCCCCTCCCTCAGAAATACGCAATGGCCTCTGATTGGTTAGCGGGCTCAGTGTGTTTGTGATTCGTTAACCGCCTAGTGCACGTTGTCGGGAAACGTCACGCCCCCCTACCATTATGGGTAGTTGCGTGATCCCGGGGGCGGGGTTTATGTAAACATCGGGTTAGTGAAGTCACAAACCCAGGAAGAAGCTCGTAGTCCCTACCAGCCGTTTTTTGTAGTCCTTGAACAGCAATTTTTTTAAAAGAAAATATCTCCCTTTGCCTGGCAGATTTGTTATTGTTTTAATCATGAAATATTGTTTGAAACAATTTCACAAAAAACTTAAGTCATTTTGCTTCTCATATTCTAGTGATCGGGAACTGAGGTATTCAAGAATTTTTTTTTTTATCCCGTTTTCAACAGGTTGGTCCATTGCTGAACATGATGATCAAGGGCAGATATGATCATGGACTGAGTTAATGGCCTGAGCTGAACTCTCTTTAGTGTGCTGCTAAGAAGGTCTGTTGATATGTATGTGTGGATATGAGTATATGCTTGTGTGTACATTCAGACTGTTGAAACAGACTGTTGCCAGTGCATGGCAGTATTTTGGCAGTTTAAAGACTTCCGCCTTTTGTCTGTTTTCAACTATAGCTAGTTCTATGTTGGTGTAAGAGGAAAACCACTGATGAGGAATCTTAAGTTGATCTCTCCTTAACAAGTCCTTAAATTCATATGTGTGCAGCATTACATGCTAAAAAATAGACGAATGCATTAGCAGAGCCTGTAAAGCACTTTTACACCACCCAGAGTGCCTGTTGTCAGGTTTTGTCCCATGTTGGGACAAAGAAGGTGCCATATGTCATGATTAAACTCCTGTGGTTGAGTCCGTGCTGTGAAACTGGCAGCGTGCCTCGAGCATATCCACAAAGGAGGATGATTTACAACTTGAAACCTACCATCAGCTCATTGACGGTTTTAAACTGTTGATACTACCATGATTTGATGGTGGTTTTTTGTGTTTGCTTTTGAATTTGATCTCATGGATTAACAGTGTTTCTGTTAGGATAGAGGTAATGCAGAATACAATGGTCAGCCACAATGTTTTTAAAACAAAGGATTTCTTATCCTTTGGTAGCTGACTCACTGAATTAAAATTTGCATTTGTTATTATTATTATTTTTAGGTAAGAGTACATTAAGGCAAATGTTTTAGTTTCTTGGTGTTATTTTTCAGTGAAACATTCTATGGTACCATTTCTGTAAGGATTGTAATTTAGAACAAACTACACTTGCCAAGTGTTAGCTGTCTCTATGAATTGAAAGGAAATAAAAGATTTTGAATGGTTTGGTCTAATATTAAGTCTTTGAAAATGCAGTTCAACTAATTTTTTTTTAATTGCAACTGTTATTCTGCCAATTACTGTTTTTGTTGTTAAAATGAGTGCATTTAAGATACAAAATGTGTGTGCTAAATGCTGAAAATGATTTTGTTTTTCACTTTTGTTCAGGGAAGAAAGCAAACAACACAAATGGCCACTTTAATTCTTTAAATGTATACAGTGTTTTAAAGTTTTCTTCATTACATAAACCTATTGGTATATCATGGACTTGTATCAGCTGACTATATTTTGCCAAAATGTCAAAGTGTACCATCAATGATAGTAGTCATCTATCATATAAACTGCCTATAATCACAGACACAAAATATGAAATAAAGTATAACTCTGGGAACATTTGTCTTGTTACAGGCATTCTTACAAAGTCAGAAAATTCTGACAAGATTATTTTGAAGTGTTTGGCCTTTCACGGACATGTCTTTTGTCTTTAAAATAATGATTTAACAGGTGTTCTAGTGTTGTTTAATGTGCTTTAGAGCATGATCTAAGTTGTGTAAAAATGTAAGAGAACGGAACCTGTTACTTCAAAGACTATGCATGATCTTTTGATTTCTGTAGTTCTCAGTACTGATTTCTGAGTGGCTTAAAGTGGTTTTGTCTGTTCTTCTAGTCTTTAAATTAAAACATGTTTTCTTTTCTCACCTCTGTCTTTAGATGTGTATATTCCTCCACACTAAAATTAAATTATTCTTTAAACACAACCTCATTATTCTCTTCAGTGTACTTATAAAGGTAGAAAAATCTGTTTTCAAAACCATTTTAAGTAGTTTAAAAGCATTTAAAGTAGACAATTGAGAAATGACAACATTCAAACAACATTATTTACTAGTTACTTTCAAAAACATCAGTCCTTGAAAAATAATGTTAATATATTTGAATCTAATCACTGCACTTCAGTTTCAGGGTCATGGAGGTGACTGGTAATGTAGACAGCGGATACTGTGATTCTATGGCAAAGACAACATGGTTTACATGTAAATGGGGTACATCGAGCACAAACAAATCTCAAATACTGGTGTAATATGGATATGACAATACAATTGTTAATAGTGAACACAAAGCACATCCATTACTAAAACTATGCAAAGCAATTACACAATATAGACAAAAAAGTAACTAGAAAGTATGCAGACGAAGCTTTGGTCTATCCAAAGCTTGTCCAGTGTATATGATGAGCTTAAACCCGAATTAACAGGCAGACATTGTGAACTGCATCTCAAATCAATGGTCACACAGACCCTGCTATTCTATAGTTTCTGTAGGAACATATATGGAGTCTTTTTATTTCTGTATATGAAAATAAACACACAATGCAAAATACAAACACGGATGTTCAACTGTTTCCTGCCACCGAAAATGAGCTAAACTGGTTGTTTTTATAACAAAACAACCACTTAGCGGAACATTTCAATGACTTTCAGTAAAATTATGACTAAAACAGGGTTTGGCTTAAAGAAAACAGTCAAATGTAAACACCTTCATGTTTGTAGGTATAGCTTAAGGTTTTAGTAAAAAGTAGTTAAAAAAATAAATAGAGTAACATATAAGGACTCGAAAAAAGAGACCTGCTGGGAGATTACACAGATCAGCAAATCAATTCAAACATCAAAACTCCAGCACCATGTATGTAAATGGACACGTTTAGACCAAGATACATTAAATAAAAACTAAATCATTTGTTTCCAGTCAAAGATAACCAGACACAAATATCAAAAACATGGAGGGTTGACTCTGAATGGTCCATCAGCAAGATGCCTTTCATCAATGAAAGCGATATTTGCGTGCTGGTTTGAGACTAACATAAGTCTTCTTCATGTCATCTGGTTCTTCTTTCTTGACTAGATGGTAACGCTCTCCCTTTGTGGTGACCACCTGACTGCCGTGATAGCGCACCAGTTTCTTAGGAGCCTGCAGATGACCATATAGGAAGTGGAAAGAATTAATATCTACATAATTCATCGATGTTATACAATGCGATCACTGAAAACATACATCTTTTGGAGTGACTGGTCTGTGCACTTTCTTGTCTTCTTCACTATCAACCAGCATGTACCTGCGGGTCCAAACATTTGATTAGGCATTTTTTTTCAGCTTGCAGTGACATCAAATATAAAAAGTGAGATCAAGGTAACAACTCACTTTTCTAAAATGCTTGCTTTAAGTTTCTGATCAACTTCAGCAGAAACAGTCTTCCCTTGGTTTCCCTGAAAACAATTTTAAGGCATCAGTGTTATTTTAGTATTATTTATATACTATTAAAGTATTAGTTCATATTTTGAATTACCTTTTATTTTTATATTATTAGTTTTTATTGTAATTTTAGTTAAAGTTATAATACTTTTGTACTTGTGTACAAAAAAACACTTTTTCGCTTCAATTTTTATTTGTTTTAGTAATTTTAATACACTTTTTTTGTTTTGACAAATATATGACTAAACATTTTTCGTTTTAGTTTAATTTTTTTAAAACTACGTTTTTCCATCTAATATTTATATTTTATTCTACCCTCATTTCAATGAACGATCATTATCTTTAACAGTTTTATTTATCATCACTGGACCGATTTGCAACAAAATATCCCTATAATATCTTTCAAATATAAAAAACATTAATCTTGAATAACAGTTAAGGGCAAAAAAATATTTATAGATAATTTTATCAATAATTTAAGTTTTATGATGTTAAATTACTTCAGTGAAAGGAGCTACAAATGAACTTACATCAAGAGACGTTGAGCACTTAAGCTGGACATCTCCCTCAATAATGAGACGAACAGCTTCCTCCATGTCTCCTTTAGCAATCGACAATGCACTTCTGGCCTCAGACACACTGCATTTAGGAAACATCTCAAGAAGATGTTGCTCCTGTTTGTCCCACGATGATTCACTAACCTGAAAACACATTTCCAAACACATATTCACTTGCCAACCAGCTGGCCATCATTTGGTACGTTGTGAATGTGCTTGAAAGGCCATTACCTGAGCTGTGGCTCCCTCTGCTTGTAATGTGAGGTTGTGTGTCTTTTCTCTTGAACCTCCATGGGTTAAAGAAGTGCTTTCTGAGAGGGGAAATTTACCTTCCTCTATTTTCATCTCTCCAGATTCTTAGACACAAATCACATTTCAGTGTGCAGGACATTTTCTTGTTTCTTCACATAAGTGCCTTTGTCCTGTGCACCTGCTAATAGCATTCAGGTTCGCGGGGGTGGGGGGTGTTTTTATGGTTGATCTTTTTTTTTTTTTTTTTTTGTACAAAATCAAATGTATCTAATATAATATAATAATAAATGCAACATCTGTTATGAAAGGAAAATTACCTGTATCCCGGGCTGAGGCCAACTTTGATGCCAGATTAAACATCATCTCACAAACTTTGACACTATAAGAAAAAAATAAATAAATGACCAACAGTCAAAAATGCATGAAAATATGATACAATTTTAATGCAAAATAATTGCAAATCTCAGTAGGACTAAACTTGCAAGACATCAGCCCACAGTTACCTGTCAATATCTGAGAAACAAGGAATGTAGGCCTCCAACATTTCAACAAACACCTCTACATCAAAGTTTTCCTCCACACTTTCTTGAGATCCCAAATCTTCTAGCACCCCAGTGATGTAGGACAAAATCACATCATCTAGAGTACTAATCAAAATAAAAAAAACACGTCACTGGTATATTTTTATGATTGAGGAGAAAAAAAAAACTTTAATTAAAGGTATGAAGTGACACGCCCTCACCTCAGATCCGCGTGAGGAATAAATGACAAAATGAAGTCGTTCAGTGCATCGTGGATTGTTTTTTGAAGATCCATCTTACATGCAGTCGAATTAAAAATGTGAAGAGAGAACAAAGAAGAAATGACAACTTATTAGAGAAGCTTTAATGCAGGTATGTTTCAGAAAACAAACACGAGGCTACAGAACTGTGGCGGCAGAATGCTGGAGATTGTGCTCAACATCAACTGATATCAAAGTGAAGGTTAATCAAACCAGAAGAGTCTGTATAATGTTGGTTCTCAGCCGTTTCAAATCCTGCAAAAAGTTAAAACAAATGTCTTTCTTATGCAAGGCCTAAATAGTCCCAAAATAGATTTTTGTTTTGCGTGATTCAACGTCGATGCGGATTCAATGCACTTCTTTAAATGACCAAATAATTTTATTACGTGTTGGAAAACATGTTTGCAAAACGGCAACGCTTGCACGCGATCTCCACACATTGTTTTGGCGTTTAATCATACGATTGTACAATCAATCAATCTTATGGTTAACATTTTAGAAACACGGTGGACAAATTATATGCATTCATCCGCTGTCAATAGAAGCATTTGATCCTGATATCATGGTTTGTTTATCTGTGCTCAGTTGGGCAGCCGATGGCTAACTAGCATAGTCCTATTACATGCGCAAAGGGCTTCAGATGTTCATCTCACCTTTGGATCAAACCGCACAGCTAAAAGAATAAAAAGAAAACAAAAACGCTCGTAGAAATTGAAAGCTTGTGCTGGCAATAAATCGTCAAATGTTTAGCTAATTCACTAGCCCTGCGCGCGGTCGCTGAGGTTCAAAACCTTTGACGTCACGTCCGCTTTAATGTAAACACACCCTCGTGTCACTGTTTTGATTGCGTTTACAGAGTTACAAACACATTTTATTCTCTTTTTATTCTATATTCTGCTGTATGATACTGTTTATTCAGCATTCTGTGTCATAGTACAGATTTACGCTTGAAGTTCAAATGTGGCCCTACCTGTTTTGTGCTTCTATAGTTGACTGTGATTTTTTATGATTGCTGTGACTACTAAGTTGTAGTTGTGATATATTTTAATGCAACATTTGTTTTGTCATCTCCTCATTCACAAACAAAGGCCAAGGTAAGTCACCCGTCACACCGACACTTTTTTTTTTTATCGCCAACCAATTGCAAGTAGGGATTGAACAATGTTTTGTATAACGATACTGAGTAAGTTTAGGTTTAAGTGTCAAAGAACAATGCAAATTTTCATTGTTTTATTTCTACAGTACATTTCACAATAATCAATAAAAATTGCAACACATCAATAAAAAATGTAAATAAAATATATGATGGATATTTTATGTATAATAATAAGAATAATAAATCAAACTAAACGTTTTATATAACTAATAATATATTAAAATAATATTTTATATAAACTAATACATTTAATAATAAACGTATACATTAGTAATATTTTTATTTACAGGTACATACACAATTTTTTGTATTGCTAGCATAACTACTACTATAATAATAGTAATAATTGTGTTATTATTGTCCTCGTCATTATTGTGCATAAACTATTATAAATAGTTTATTTTTATTTACACTTGTTTTTATTGCTTGCATAATTAATTACTACTATAATAATTTTATGTCATTTACATTTTTGTGGTTGTACATAGCAAATAATTTTTTATCTCTGTTTTCTGTTTTGACCTCTTTTAGGTTAAAATGCTATGGGTCTCTCACTTGAGTATGAATGGCTGTAATGTGAATTGAGAAATTTATGCAAATAATACAATGAATTCGGTACTTTACCTGTGAAACACTGTTGTTTTCTGTTAAATGTGATCTAGCAAAGGATGTCACTTATCGGTAGACCCGATACTGATTAAGAATATCAGAAAGAAAAAAAAATCAAAAATCCGTTATTGATCTGTCTCTAATAGCAAGTACTGTCTGTGGAGTTTTACTGATCTTTTATAAGGCCCTTCCGCACATACGTCAGCATCTGTTAGCGCACATATAAGGGGTAAAGAGAGCTCCAGTGTTATTACACTAGTGTATGCTGTCACGCCTCCCGATTACAAATTGGTTTCATAGATGTTTAGCGCTGCATAATTAATGCTTTATCGAGTGTGTGTTTTATCCAGCTGCACTGTTTCATTATTAGTACGGGAAATACAGTACATGAGGCTGATAATGAGTCTAGGAGAAGACGTCTCATCTTGGCTGGACTTTATTTAACCCTCTTGGGTCAGTGGCATGTAGAATTGGCTTACAAACTGAGTGCATGAATGAAACCCATCCCTATTCCTTATATATACACAGTCAGTATATAATAAGAATATAGCGGTGTTTTTATTTAGACTTAATTCCGGACTTGTTAATGAAGTTGACAACAAAAAAACAGCCTAATCGTATGGATAGTAGATGCTAGCTTTTAATGCATAAAATAATATGCATTCTTAATTATAAATGCAAATGACTTATTCATAGGAAAAAAGGCTATAGGGTAAGATCTTGATGTAAGTTACATATTCTAGAGGTGAATTAAAGCAGTACATTTGTATTTTTACTGGGTGAAGGGAAGTAAATAAAGAGGCTAATTGTCACTATAAATGGGGTAAGTTGTCACAATGGCATTTCATGAAACAGTACAAATGTAAATGGTAACATACAACCAAGTTACTATTAAATTAATAGTTTAAAATAAAAAATATGACAACTTGGATTTGAAATATTTCCTGACCTGTAATGAAAAATGGTTAACGGTTAATGTTCCAGTTAAAATCTACCTAGTTCTATTGTGGTCTATTGTTACCAGCAGCTATAGAAAAATATCACGGTGCTTTCATTTTAGTTTGTGGGATAAATTGTGATATAGATTTGGAGATGTATTGAAAATGTTTGGTGAGATTCACGGTGTGAACACTAGGTGGCTGCATTGAGTCATGATACACTTTTGTATCGTTGCTGTTGACTTTAACAGAAACATTGATGCAGTTCATAAATCGGGAAATGTAAAATCAGTTTCTCAACAGTCACATTTAGTTTTTATGGGGTTTACAGAAAATGGTTATTTTCTAGTTTCTGCATGTTCGTTTTGTATTGCGTCTAGAAATAGAATTTAGCTGATTTTCCTACAGAAAAATCTTTTAATTTATTTAATATTGCTTATTTTCTTAAATACTAAAATGAATGGATATAATTTATTTAGCATTATATCATTTATTTTTCTTTTAATATAAAAATGCTGTTTGAGTTATGGATATACAAAATTATCTAATTTTGTAAAAGACAAAACATTAGGTTGTACTACTTTATTTTTTAAACTTTCATACTGGTACTGGAGGCACTGTTATAGTTAGCCTAGTCTTGCCTTGCATTCTCTCATTTGCCATTACAGACACAAGAGAACTATTTTCCAGTTGAAGGCACGATGTGTCCCATCTGCCAGTGTGCCAGAACCCTTGAGCTCAAGGTGGGCCACAGAGACCCTGTACTGAACCCGCAGGGACCACTGTGTCATGAAGCACATCCCGTAACATAGCTTTAACATACTGTATGAAACACAATGCACTTACATATGTTAAAATGTTCTGGATGTTTGTTAAACACACCTGGTTGTGCACTCAGAAACCAGATGAGAAATCAAGAACTTGCAGCTGTATTGTGAAAATCTGTGTTATACATTTAGTATCAAAAGTTTAATTTAGGTTTCCCTCTAAAAATAGTTTCACTCTGTTTTAAAAAGATTAATTTGGTAGTTTGTATAGAGAAGTTTTCTTTGATGTATAATGTCTTTTGATGACGCCTATATTATAGTGTATTTTATTGTATATCAGGATAAATCTATTTTAGCTTGTCTTTCTAAAAATACACAGATCACTTTGTTTTTTTAATATATATTTTATAATTTTAAAATTTCATTTGCCTGTTAAAAATGAATAACTACATCTAAAACATTTTGCATTTAAAATATTCAAAAGCAATTAAAAGGTTTTCACTCATAGTTAATGGTATGCTCAAGCATGTCATTCAGCAATGGAAGGCCAGGATACACAATGTGCATATTGTGTTAAAAGAGAAAGATTTCCATTTGATCAGACACAATGGAGGAAGCCTTGATCTCCGCTTTGCAATTTCCTCTCCTTCGTTAGAGGAGCCAAACATGGTGCGAATAAATTTACTGCCAAATTAATTACCTTTTCCCCAACTTTAGACAATAATACCAGAAGCTGTCTGTCGGAACACATCTCTAATTATTTTATTAATGTTTGATTCACAGTTCAGGCACAGCGATTTCACATTTTTTATTAACTTTATTATACTTCGAAGTGAATGTGCATTATTTTATATTAGATGATCTGAATTGAATTACCCAAGTGCCAAAATCAAATCAACAGATTTTTGTTTTCATCTCACAGATATCGTTAAAAATTGAACAAATCTATTGTGCAATTGAAGCCACCGAGTTTTATTAATGAGCTTTTTCAAGCTTTCACAATTTGCCTCCTCAACCTCAAATAGTGAAATAAATGAACAGAATTTAATCACAGTCATACCGCATGAAACTGTGCTTTCCATCAACACTTAAATGGGAGGAAAAAAATTCTGATTCAGTTTTTTTTAAAGAAAATATATAGATATTAGAAACGCATACCTTTTATTGTTAATTTTAAGTTTAAAAGCAAACAGTTTTTCACTTAACTATATTCTGAGACAATATATAACATTTAGACTAAATGCTACACTACAATTTTATGTATTTAATTATTATTATTATTATTATTATTATTATTATCTTTTTTTAAATGATTATTATTGTGCATTTAAACTTGTGTGTTGCCAGGTGGTGATCTCTGACTCTTATCTTTATGAAAGACTGGTAGCAGGAAACTCGAGGTCAAACAGCATTTTGCAGGCATGGCAAACATTATTTAGACCCGCTTCTGTGGCCAGGGTATCAGGCTTGGGGGTCTGGAGCTGTATCAAGCCATCAGAGCTGGCTTATCCGGACTCCTGCAAGGCAATGCTTGCCTTCCCGTCTGGCTCCTGCTTAGATCCTGTCTCAAGGAAATAGGCACCAGACTGGCCACTGCTCCCTAAGACCCGCTGCGAACAAGAGGCATAATGCGGTCTTGTGC